TCAAAATTTCTATGAACTTTTACATCGCAAACATTTAACATTTTGCCGAACTAAAAGTTGAGTTAGCGAGAAGATCTATTTCATTCAATCTATCTATGAAATGTTTTTTGGTTAAAAGAACCAGTTACGAGGTACATTTAATTCTATTAAATGGACTAAAAAAACATGTTCTTGTAGACTAATAAAAATATGCTACCATATTAAAGCTGTGCAACATCTTGTTGGTGCACCAGAAACCTCTAAAAAGAAGTATACAAACTATAAAGCAGATTGGACGTTTAACGTCTTTCACATCCGTCATGCCTAGCAACAACTACAACAACAACTTCAATATGCTCTTTCGAAAATTATTTTCAATAACAATTGTAATAATAATACTAATAACAACAACAACAACAACAATGATAACAGTAACAATATTAACAACATTAACAATAATAATAGTAACGTTAAAAGTAATAGTAATAATAAAATATTAGTCTAAAATATACAAAAACTTAAAATATTAAATTAAGTTTTGCAACCCACTAGTAAAATTAAAAAAAAGTTTTACATGGAAAACCCACTAAATAGTTTTAAGCATTCACACTTATTAGATTTATCCTTATTGTATCTCTATTATTTAAGAGCTAGAACAGTCAACGCGTGTACAGGTTTTTCTTGTATACCCCTAAATGTCAATCTAAACTAGTCGTTTATTTGCGTCTATTTACGTTTATTTATTTAACTTACGTTTATTTACTATGTTTTGGCCAAAGTATGCATATTTATCTACGCCTAACACTTTTGTTTTTTTATCATCATTTATCATATTTGGGGATTTCTAAAAAATAACGAAAACTCGTATATGCTTTGTCTATTATTTTCATAATAATAATAATACTAGTAACCTCCATTTTATTCTCATTTAATTCTAACCGGTATTCATTAGTAATGTTAAAGTCAAAAATGTCAAAAATCAAATTAGATTTGAAAATATAAGTTTCAGCAGTCTATTTCTTTTTTAAAATAATATTTTAAATATTAGTAAAGATTTCCAAAAAGTTACAAGATCTATGTATCCTAGAATATCTGAGAGCACTATGTACCACTATGTAACGTAGCAAAAAAGTTGAAAATTTGTGGATTTCACATTAAAACATATCAAATTGGTTGCATTTAAATGTCTATAATCGTTTAAAGACAAAATTAGTATTTTTTGCTTCAAGATGACCTTCTCCTAGATTTGAGACAAGTCTGCAGTGCTTTAGAGGTCTGGGTCAAGTGCTTTTCCGCGAGCTCTGAAGACTTGACCCGGAAAAAAATTTAACGAGAAAGTTCACAACGCCTTTATTCCTGATGTTGCTTTAATTCTTCATCATAGCCTACTTAAATTAAAGGGCCTGATTTATTGCATTTTCCGTAAAAAATTAAGAGACCAGTTTTTTTACGGGTTTTTGTTTAAAAACTTGAGTTCTTTTTATGGTTAAGAGTCGTATTTGCACTATAAATATTTTATTCTTATTTTATTAAAATGGTTAACCAATAGTTAGATTTTCTTTGGATACTTACATTATTTTGTGCTAGATTTTTTGCTAATTGATTGCCTGCTTCAGTTTGTTCCAAAAACACAGAATACTGAAATAGGTTTTCAGATAGCTAAAATAAACTTACATGTTGCTAAGATTGCCTGAAACTCTCCATTGAAAATAAAATCAAAGGTTTGTAATTTTGTAATTATTATAATTGAAATTAAAAGAAATACTTTTTAACTAAAAATATTTATTCGGTCTTTGGAGTTTTTTTGAATTCTTTTACTTGATCTTTCCTGCCTGAATATGTAATTTCTTTTTGCAAATTATTATAAAAAATATTATTGACAATGCAAGATCTCTACTAGATTCCCCACGTTTAGTGATTTTCGCTAGGCAATTCAATACTGCTAAAACAAATCTTTAAAATTTGCTCTGCTAATTTTAAATTATTTGATTAGAATAAAAGAAATAACATAGAATACTAAAAAGATAATAAATAAAATCAAACAAAGGTAGAATTGGATATATAGGCTCTCCTCTGTATAAAATAATGTTTATTAATCATAAGTTTAACACCAAAACTTTTTTTTAATTTTTTGCCAATTTTTTGCCACCCTGTATATGCTATAGCATAGTACAGGGTGGCCGATAAGTACGTATAATTTCTTTTCTTTGTTCATTACAGTGTTTTTTCTTTCACAGATCATCTACTGTATATTGTTTTTGAATTAAAATTTTTTCTACTGTATCTCTACGTTGTTTATTTTTGAATTTTAGGTATGACGAAAGTTTCGCCGCATCGAAGTGTTATTGTAAATTTGTGCCGATCAGGAATGAAAGCAGCTGCAATCGCAACAAGGCTCAAGTGCTCAATTCCATTGGTCTACAAAGTTCTGGCGCAATGGAGAAAGACGGGTGACGTACAGGAGAAAAAAAAAGAAGGCCGCCCAAGAACTGTGAACACTCGGAAGGCTCGAGGAATAATCAAGAAGCGCATCACTAGAAATGACATTGTGAGCCATAATAAGATGGCAAAAAGTCTCGGAATGGCTTGATCGACTCTTCAAGCAATTGTGCACAATGATCTTGGACTCAAAAGCTATCAACTTTTGAACGGACAACAGCTAACAGATCAAGCAAAACAAAAACCCCTCGAAAAGTGCCAGGAATTGAAGAACTTTTTTCGAGTGCGCCGTTTTGAGGATGTCTTATGGTCAGACGAAAAATTTTTCACTATTGAAGTTGCCAAGAACTCTCGAAATCACCGACAACTCTTGTCACCAGGTCAAAAAAACAGCCGAAGAAAAGTTGCAACAAAGACGCTGTTTCCAAAAAGTTTAATGGTGTGGAAAGGAGTCTCGGCAAACGTCACAACGGAGCTGATTTTTATCGACAAAAGCATTAAGATTAACGCCAAAACTTGCCAAGATGAGATTATCAAGAAGGTCGTCATTCCATGGAAGCAAAAAAACTCAGGAATGATCTTCCAACAAGACTGGGCGTCTGCCAACGGAGCCAAAAGCATGCTAGCTTTCTTGGACACGAAAATCAAGGATTACCTCGAGAAAGATTTGTGGCCTCCAAATAGCCCCGATCTATCACCACTCGATTTTTCCGTTTGGGGCGTTTTAGATGAACATTTGTCTCGCCAGAAAATTAAAAATTTGCAAGATCTTCATCAAGAATTGTTAAAAGCCCGGGCTAATTTGGATCTGACCTACTTGCGGCGCACGGTTGAGTCGGTCAAGAAGCGAATTCAACCCTGTATCAACGCAGATGGCGGACACTTCGAAAATGTGTTATAAAAGTTATTTGTTACAGTTCATTTGTTCATTTAATAAACATTTTTCTATATTTGTATATTTTCTATATTTTACAAAACTCTGATATGACTGCCTTAATATTATATGCACTTATCAGCCACCCTGTAGTTTTGTAGACAACTAAGCAATATGTTGCATAATACTTTTTAAGGATTATCAAATGTCTGATATAATATAAATATTTTCTTCCCAGAAAATATTGTTAGAAAAATATTTATTAAAAATATTTATAAAGCAGACATCTGTCAAAATCTTTTCACTATTGCGTATTTCTAAAAGAACCACAAGTCTACCTCTGGTCATTTAACTATACTTACTAAAACCTAGCTCCAAAGGATCACTTTGTTAACTGGAGGTAAGAACAAATGTATAGTTTTCGTCAAGCAAATCATTCATAAGAGATACAATTGCTTTTAGCGTTGTAATTAAAGCACGAGAAGTTTGTTTAGTTAAAATATTTACATTTTGATCAAGTTTCAATACAGTTCGCAATTTCTCAATAAAGTGTGGGTTTGTTATCACTTTTCACAGCAGCATTGCTGAGTTAATTGGATAAGTTAAGTTTGTCCTTTGAATTAAATGTAACAAATAACTTATAAAATAATAATAGTTATGTTGCATTATTTCTTTCAGGAATTTAAATAAATATTGCAGTTGTTTCGTCAAATATTGCCAATGTTAGGTGACAACTTGTTTGTTGTTTCCATGATAAGTGACTTGATAATTAATTTTTCTGTGCTTTTTTTTTTAATTCCTGTTTAGTAATTGATGTTTTAATGCAAACTGCATAAAATATTTTCCCTGCTATGTAACCAGCGGTAACCTAGTCTCTGGAAAAATTAAATAAAATAAAAAATAAAAAAAATATTTTTTGCATTCAACAAGTTGTTTCATTTTTCATAAAGCGGAGTATATTATATAATAAGTAAGTAAATACTCTTTCTATAAACTGGATGATAAATAAATAGCTTTCTATTTCCAGTAAATGTTTTATAAAACAATAAATTTGTATTAACATCGCTAGAATGGTTATTGGTAAAAACAGCTTTTATTCTAAATTCAATTTGGTGTATTGAGGTTATACATCCATAGATTTCTTTTTTTAAAAGTTTCTTTATGGAGATTATTTTTTCAATCTTTTAATAAAGCATTTTATAGTCTTTATTTTACAAGAATAAAACATTTATAGTGCAAAGACGACTCTTAACCATAACAAGAACAAGCTTATACGTAAGCCGTAAAAAAACTTGCCTATTAGTTTTATATGAAAAATGCAACAAATCAGGCCGTGTAATTTAAGTAGGCTATGTCTTCATTCTAGAGCATGCATTGAACAAGAGGAACATACCTCTTGTTTCTGACGTTAGCGCTGTGCTACGGGTGCTTGACGGTTGAAACGGTTTAAATTGAAAACCTCATAAATCGGTTAAAATTAAAAAATGTTTAAACGATTAAACATCATACTTCCGCTTTTTAATAGATTTATTTTTGCTTCTCAAAACGCGTTTTGATAAGTTTTTTCTAGATCTAACAACCGACCGTCATTATCGTGCACGTGTGCGTCATTCGAAGCGCCGCGACGTTTGTAAAAAAATTCTTTTGTTGATAAATTAGTTGATCAATAAAAAAGACGTTCATTCAAAGATAATTGTCGTCACTTCCTAAATCCTTTGTTTTATATTCTTTTCAATGTCTGGTAAAAATCCTCATGTTGTCTATGCGAGCAAAGAATCGTTTTATCGGTTAAGTGGGCTCGGTATTTCTTTAGTTCTTGTTATAATAGCAGTTATAGCATATTCAGATAATAAAGCAAGTATGAATCGAGATCATGTGTGAGGTTTTATAACATTTTTTATCTAACAAATACATAATTTTTAATATATAAATACTTAAAAACTCTAGTTAAACAGTATTGCTATTGGTACAATTATATGGTGATAAGTTTGGCAAACATGGAAAAAGATTTGAAAGGAAAAAAAAAAAAAAAATAATAATAATAACTACTATTAAACTGCTAAATTCTGGAAAAACTGCACTAAACAGCGCCAAGTTAAAAGTTAACAGGATATTGCTAGAAATTCCATCGTTTTAACTGTATCTAATAATTGTCCTGAAACAGAACCTTTAAGAAGTTGTTAATGATAATATTAAATCAAATTAATTATATTTCGAAGAGTTGTTGCATTCGAGCAATTTTATAAAAAATATATATTACTATTTAAAACTATATATTTCACAATATAATAACAATAATTAGAGTAGTAAACATAAAAATATTAAGGGTAGAAATAATGCTAATGATAGATAGTAATAATAACGATAGATAACTATAATATAGATAATGATAACAGTAATAATAATATATTATTTTCAACTAATATTAATATTATTGTTATTACTAATTTTTACTACTAGTATTAAATTCTTGTAGTAAAAATTAATAATAACAATAATAATAGTAGTAATAAATAAGTTAAAATAATAATTATTAGAACAGTATTAATAAATATAAGTAGCAATAATAACAATAATATTAACAAATGATTAGAATGGATAATTTATGGAAAGCTAAACTGGATTTAAAAACTTTCTTTCTCCCCATCAATAAGAAAAACATCACTTCAAAACATTAATCTACTACCAGTCACATTCCCTCTAATCAAGAATTGTTTCAGTCCATAAAATAATTTATGAATTGAAGGATTAATCTAATTACTCCTTATATTTTACAAACAGTATCTCTCCAACAAATAAGCAGACTGTATTGTAAAATTTAAAATATTAAATTCTGTAATAAAATTCCAAGATGTAAGAAAAAGAAGTAAATTATTTTATGATTTTATGCTTTAGTTTTTTTTATAGATTTTTGACCGTACTGTACCAAACAATGATTTGTGATAATAAATGATAATCATTGAAAAATAGTTCCTTTTTTTTAAATTAGTAAATACACACTTTTATATAAGGTTATTTTAAAGGAAAAATTTTTCAAGGAAAACCCTAATATAAAAAAACAGCTTCTTGTTGATTTTAAGAATAGAGGAGAGGTGATGTAGTGAGGTTGATTGCTTATACATTAAAAAAAAAATACTCAAAGTAAAGCAAGAGTAGTAGTAAAGTGAGTGAAAAAAAGGAGAAAGTAATTAACTATGAAAAGAAGACTTATATTTGCCTAATTAGAAAATCAAAGAAAAATTTATTATAACATGTCAAATACATTCTGTATGTGTTATGATATTAGGCTAAAACATGGGGATTAAAAGTTGTGGATATAAATCACATACAATCTTCAGAAAAATGATGATCAATTGTATAATTGTTGTTAAATTAAAAGAAATTAAAGTATGTGGATCTTCGTTATATGTTTGGAATACTGAGTATCTATCAGGGAAACTTAAAGTGCAATATGCATTCATACTTAGAGTGAAACACCTATAAAAATTAGGAACACAAAATGATATAAATTAGCAAATGTTAAAAAATGAAGACTCATAATTTTGAGATTTAAGGTTGTGTGATAAAAATAAAAACAAGTTTTCTATAATTAAGAAACTCTTGAAAGTTATCAAAGAAGTATTAAGCTGTCATCTCTTTATTTCTTAATAGATTTTTATGTAACTCAAAATTTCATTTGCGTATTTGCTAGCTTGTATTTTTCTGAATTGAATTTTTTAAAGTAGCATGTTTTTAATTAACTTTAATAATGAAATAATATTTCTAAAAACATTTCTTTTGGATACACAAATTAAAGCCTAATATGCTTATCCAAAAGTATTTTTTTTTAACCGAGTTTAACAAGGTGAATAATTGAGTGACAATATAGAGAAATAAAGAAATAAATAAAGATAAAATGTAATCTTACAAGTTTAGTAATACCAATAAAAATTAGCTAAAAGGTGGAATCAAAATAAATGTACTTTTTATTATTTATAGTGAGCCATTTGAGGATAAAGCATTAACTGCTTTTGCTGAGCAACTCTGGGAACTTGATGAAAACCGTTTAAATCCTAATGAACATTATGTATTGGACTTGCAAGGTAAAACAAAGTTTTCTTATGATGGACCCGATAATGCAGCAAAACCCCTATTTTCTAAAGTTGACCCAAAGGCTTTCGAACGACCTACATTTAAAGGTTAGTAAAAAATTAAAACATTAAAAAAAATTGTATAATTATTAAAAAATATATATTCAAATAATTAAAAAAAAATGAATAAAAAGAATTGTATCAATTCTCCCATATGTATGGAAGACTCCACCCTATAGTTGACTTGTTTAGGGAGGAACATGCGTCCTCTAGATATGGGAGATATAATACAACTCCTATAAGTTTTTAGAGTCTTTGTGACATAAATCTAGTTTCTTTATTCACTTTTTTTTGTTTTGTTTAACAAATTGACATAACATTCGGAAAATTAATAGCATTTTATTATCTTAAACACTATTGTCTTACAATGGCTGATTAAAAAAATTAAGCAGATGTTTAATTTAATCAGCCATTGATTAAGTTAAACATTTGTTTAATCGATGGTTGATTTATAATAACTCTAAACCCTACCCTAATACTATAACTCTAACCCTTAATCTTACATTTGTTTAATCAAGTTGATATTATTACAATTGTAAAATGTTATAAAATCAACAATATAGTATTTTATATAATTTAAAGAGATTCAGTAAAATAATTTTTTTTTTAATGAAATAAGATTTTAATTAAGATTAAAAAATTAAATAAGATTCAGTTAAATAGTTTATTATCACAATGAAAATTTATCTATGTCCCTTAAAACTTAAATCAACTTTAATAACAGAATAAATAACAAAACAATAAACACATCATCTTTTTAATTATACCATTCATTTACTAAATATTAAACTCTTTTAATGAATTTGAAAATTCTTTGATTCTCCCTGATGATGACTTCAGTTTTGGAGTAGGTCATTTTTTTACTATTCTGAAATTAATAAGCCACTTTAATTTATCATTAATTTTTGTGGCAAATTTGATGTCATATCCCATTTTAAATTCACTAATTATTTGTCCAACATATTTATGAATAAAATATTTTTGTGAAATAAAATTAAAATTTGTTCAGTTCCCTTTAACCATATCATCACCTGTGCAATCTTCATCAACTTCAGTCTCTTCACCTGACTTAAGATTGAAATCACTTTAATTTGAAAGACTTAAATCTGACTCAGCCAATGAAAGTAATTGCTCATCCTCTGATTATGTATTTTGTTCATCTTCTAAATTAAGATTACATTTCATAGACTTAGCTTTAACTTAGTTAATATTTTTTTGTTAGCTGTCCTGCTCCCCACTCGTTTTCAATTACTAGTTTTTCTGGTGTGTCTGTTAAAACTTTGGTGCGACCTTTCTTTCTTCCTCATGTGATGCCTTTTCTTGAACCTGTTTTTGAGTAGGATCTTATAGCTGCAGGACTTACTGATGTTGAAGAAATGGTTCAGTAGTGTTAGAGTTAGATTCTTCACAATTTGTGATGGGACTTTGTGTAGTACTTCCTGTGTGCATTATGTGTTAACAATCTATATTCATAATATTTATTGAGCGAATATTTATTCTCCATCACTATTTGTTATTGGTAGAGGTGTAGAAATAAATGTGGATTCTTAAGCATTAGTTTTAGGGCAGGTTACAGCAGCCAGCTTAGATACTACTTTCCCTGTCTGTGGCTTATGAGCTAAATTATATATAGTTAGTGGATAACCATCCAGTTATCACATGCTGTGTTATAATATGATTTCATTATCCCAAATATTATGCGATCCAAATTATGTATCCAAATGTTTTTGAGATATTAGGTGGAATAGTCAAAACATGAATCTCTACAAAAATTGATTCAACTGTTAAGTGTGATTCATAATTGTCAAAAACAACAAGGTAAGGAAAATCTTTGCCACATCTAATGCAATTTATAAAAAATTTGGAGAACAACAAAAAATTTGAACCAGTCATCCAGGCAAAGGGTGCAAAGCTCCCTCTCTTTCTGATGGTCTAAAAACACTAAAGCTATCATATAACTTTAATAAAGGAATAATTAAATCAAAATCAAAACTTACAAAATGCACCAAATACTGTCTACTCTCTGATTATTTGTCAAATATGACAGACACTATTGCTTAAAGTTATTGGGTGTCAAGGTCTATTAATTTTGCTAGCTAAAAATAATGTGATAATTTTATTATTTTCTTAATTCTCTTGTACCTAGTCTCCCATGAGGATCAAGTGTCCCCTATCTCCCCTGTGAATCTATATATATTATGTTTCTCGTAAAACATGTCAAATAAGAAATTTTTTTGATTTGTTTAAAAATCTGAATAAAAAGAATGAATCTAAATTAAACATAATATTTTGATATTCTTTTTAACCCCAAATATATCAGTGAGGGGAATTCAATTTAAATAGTATGTATATTTGTGTTTATATTCTATAATTCAAAATATAGTCACATTTACATTTTTTAATAGCATTTATTGCACTTTTGGATAATTATGAGAGTGCAACTGGTGTTGCAGAAACAGTTACTCCTCAAGAAGAGAAAGAAAATTGGTCTTTCATAGATTTGGTTTTTAATACCAAAGTAATGGATCATGCTTACAAATTTTTGAAATACAAAGGAAAAGCCAATCAAGATTTAATAAAATTTAAACATGATTTTTATAATCTTTGGTTTCAACTTTATAAAAGATCAAAAGGGTCAAGGTAATTTTTTTTGTAAATAAATTTTCAACTACTTTTCAATTTTTTATCTGAATAAAAAGTTGTCCTGATTTGTGTTTTCATTTTTTGAACCTATTTTTAGTTTTATAAAAAAGAGTCTTTTATTTTTTAAAATGATAAATTTGTGGAGTCAAGTAAATACACTTTTTAAGTTTTTTAATGAGCATTTAATAACATAAAATAGTTATAATTTTTTCAAAATTTGTATAATTAGGAGTTTTAGCATAGTTCAATAAATATTCATTCATGAATGTTTCGTTTTTGTTTGTTTTTTTGTATTAATTCTGGAATCATCTGATACAATATAATAATATTACAGTTAAGCTACATATAATGTTTTTATATTTTATATTATACTTGAAACTTTATAGATAGTTTTTTTAATAGGTATGATATTATATTAGATGATATGTTAAAACAGATATATATTTGGATGGGTACTAATGTATGCACCAAAACAAAATTACATCAAAACAAGTTTACTAATTAAGAAACACAAATCTAGAAGTGTTATTTTATAAATGTACATATTGTGGAATGTCTATTTTGTTTCAATTTACAATTACATTTTTTATTATCATCTAACATAAATAAATTTATTTCTTTTCTCAACATTTGTATAGATGAATTAAAATATGTTATTTATTTTTTTCATTATTTCTTAAAATTGCAGCTTTGCAAATAATGATTTTTTCCTTTTAAAAAGTTATTAACAAAAAAAAAATTATTTGCTGCAAAGAAAAAAACTCAAGTTAATTACTTTACCAGCGCTTTTTTCTTAATTATAAGGAAAGTTCTGTTTTTACTTTTTCAATATTGCACAATCTGTTGTTTATATAAAGCTGATGTAACTATTATAAACTATTATTTTTTGCAAAATAAAACTTAAATACAAATAAAGACATGGCAAGAGCTATATTGTTTCAAGCATAAATTCAAGCAAAAAGTTAATAGTAGAGTTAACCATAAAAGAAGTTTTTTTTATGTATATATATATATGTGTGTGTGTTGTTTATATTAAAATACATGTATTACAGAGAAAATGACTCATCAGGCTTTGAACATGTCTTTGTTGGTGAAACTAGAGGACAAAAAGAAGTTATTGGTTTTCATAACTGGATTCAGTTTTATCTTCAGGAAAAAGCTGGAAATGTTGATTACAAAGGTTTTATGTCAAGTAGCAAGGTTAGATTTTTAATTGTTATGTTGTTAATTACATTAATTAAATTAATAGTTATGTTGTTAATTTAATGTGTTAATTACAATAAAAACAACATACATACAAAACTTATGATAGTTACAAAATAGATATAAAAAATATTGATTACATACGATTACACGTAAAAATAACATCACTACCAAGTTTAGTAAATGGTGAAGAAACACATGTTATACCTTAATAATGTGTTATTTTGATTAGGTTGATTTAAATATGTTTAGAAGGAATTAAACATGTTGTGATTGTGATCGCGAATTGCAATTGCTTTTCATATGCTGCAATTAGTTTTTTCTATAAAAATATTTTTGCAATTTTTTTTTAGATGGGGGGGAGAGGAGCATTCTAAAAAATGTTTTTGTCAGAGATTTTAATCATAAAGTATGTCACGCTAAATTTAACTTTTAAGTAGAAGTATCATCATGCACTGAGATTTTCATTCAACATAAAGTGCTTTTGAATTATAATTACTCAAAATCTATGTGTGGAAACCAATAGTGTGATTTACTTTATGGGTAAGGTACATCAGTAAGTTTAACTAAATGTTACTACAGTTAAGTTACTAAACTTTTAAATTTAATTAATATACTCAAAAACATTTACTTGCAAAAGTTAGCCTTAGAAATGTTTCTATTTATATAATTAGTTAATTCACAAAAAATAGGTAATAAAATTGTTATTATAATAACTTATAAATTAAATATGTTTTTAAACCAAAATGTCTAAATGCATTTTTTATTTAACGTAAATGATAAATTGCAGCAACTCAAAAACTATTACAAACTTTATTCTAATGCTCAGACATTTAATAGACATCAATTGCTACATTTGTAAAATGATACTACCTAAATGTGTTTAAAAAGGCTTAATAGAAAAGATAACATATGACTTTTATATGTATTCATACTTTTTTATCAGTAAAACCATATCTATTAGTTTAAACAATATCGTTTGAAAAATACTTTAGTAAAACACTTTCACTTTAATACCAATACTAAAAAAAGGTCTCTAGCTATTTGATGCAATTCTAAACAATTATCCCTGATTAAAAGTGGTGGGAAGCATTTATTTTGTGAAACACTTGCCATGTATCTCATTCCATTGTTTATAGTTTATATCCATATATCTCTACAGATTCTCTTATTTTTTCTTTCATAGTACTTAGAATTAATTACAAGTGTTTTGTGGTGCATCAAATAACATATACCATGGCAATCCTTGCAGTGTTCTGTTGCTCTAGGGGCATGCCAATTGCCTTTTATGGTGTTTTCTTGATGTTCAATGGTTCTTTTATTTATTTATAATTAAAAATTAAAAACTATCAATTATGACTACTCAAACCTTCACAAAAAAAATTCCATGACTTTTTGTCTAAATAGAGAAAAGAAAAGTAATAAAAATAATAGAAGAAAAAACTTTTTTTTAACAATATTGTTCTGATTGTATTCCTTCAAAATTGTATGAGGTTATAAAAGCTCCTAAAGCAGTTTTAAATGATCCAATAAGACTAGTTGTTTCCACCATTGGTACTCCACCATATGGTTCTTCATTATGTCTTGTTAAAATAATACAACCAATTCTAATAACAAAACAAGTTTACTAAACTCTTCTTTATTTGTCAATAAAGCAAACTCTTGGATTATTTGCCCTATTGAAATTTAATGTCTCGCATTGTGTAATAATTGAAATTGAAATTGTCGCATTGTGTTTTGAACTGTTCCTTTTCATTTGATTGCAATCAATTTCTGTGATTGTCAACATATTTAATACCAATAGAATTGACTTTAATTCTATTCAATAATCCAAGTTCTATTTCTATTGGATTTGGATCCCATTAGATTGTCTTTTACTGTTATTGTTGCAGAGGCATTTTTACAACATTTGTAAACAAAAACTTTAAAGATTGAAGAAGTAAACTTTTTTACAACAAAATTGTATATAAGATATGTAAATGACTGCCTTGCAATCTTTATTGCAAAGCAGTCATATTATCAATTATTAATCAATTATTCTTTAGAAAAACACAAGTTACTTGAATTATTAAATCAACAATATTCTACTATTTAATACATATCAGGAAAAGAAAACAAAAAGAAAAATTAAACTTGTTAGATATAAGAATTATAAGTGTAAGTAGTTTACATAATGATTTCAAAATCCAAAATCTGTAGCTACAAATATACAAATAGTTTACGCTCAAATTCTTATTTTATATGCTTTTGCAAAATTTCATTATTTTTAACAGGTGGTTTTTTAACAATTTTATTATTATTTAGAAAAATAATCTTTTGTAATAACAGGTTCTTCAGAATTATTTTTTAAACTCAATAGAGCCTAGCTCTTCACCTTAATTAGACTCTTCACTGTCATCCTCACTACTATTATTACTATTATCAATATTTAATATTTTTTGGTTTTGGTCTAAAATCACATTTGTTTTTACATAAACTACATCACATTCTGCTGAATGGATTGCATGGACATAGCAGATGATTGCAGCTTAATTAAACTTCCTAATTCAACCATAATGGATGCGCCATCTGTAGTTATAATAACAATATCATTAAATTCATTATTAAATTCCAGTTTAAGTTTAATTTACCATTCAATTATTATCTCAACAGACTTTTTAGTTGACATCCCAAAGATACATCTAAGTCCAAGACTGTAAATGCTTTTATTTGTGTGCACATTAATGTTCATATAACAACGTATTCCAATTTAAATGTATCTTTTGCATGCATAAGTTTTATAACAGTTCAAAGTTCATCTTTTTGGAATGACCTTTAAACTGTTTTTTTAAAATGTAATGATGACAATTCTATTTAATGCCTTATCTTTAAATGCATTTTCATCACAATTGTGCAGACTCCTTTGGTTGGTATAATAATGTTACAAGTTTTGCAATTAGCAGTTTCGTTTACTTTACATTTTAAGAGATTCTCCAAACTTAGGTATTGCTTATTAGTTCATAAAAATCTATATTAAAATTAATATTTAAAATACTTTTAAATTGTTTAATGCTGCAAAATGTAACACTTAAAAAAATTATTAATGTTACACAGATTCATCAGCATAAGGAGCCATCCATAAAGTATGCATGCAGGTAGGTATGATTACTTTCTTCTATTTACCAGATTTCTTTGCTTTTGCTTTAATTTAGCATTTAATTTTCAATATCTACATTATATCTTCAATTTCCTTATATACTTTTGCTCCCATGTAATAAAATCTTTTTTTACTATGGTTATTAATTATTATTTTAAGTTTATCATTGTCTTTTTTATCAGTTTTTATGAGCATCTCTATCATGATACTTTCTCTTAATTTCAATTGATTCCACAATTTTTCAATAAGAGTTGCTGCAAGTGAGTTTTTTTATGGAATATAAATCTTACTGATTTTTTTTGTATCGTGTAAATTATGAGTAGCAAATCAATTACCCGAACAAAATAGATCTGAATCCAGATCTCAAAAATTCCGGTCTAGATCTCTAATTCTTCTATGACCTAGTAGCAATGGAGTCAACAGTTATTTTCTTTGATGAAAAAATGTTAAATGTTCATTTTTACCTCAGTTTAAAGATTAGGTTTCCAAAATCTTTAAATTTATTAATTTGGTAAAACTGTGATAATGCCAACTTCAGTATAACATATTTTACAGAAAACATGTTAAATTAGCACAAATCTATTTAGGTAACCATAGAAGTAGCAACATTTATTTACAGTTCTTGGAAAGGGAGATTTGAACTTCACCAGAGCAGTAAAATTAAATTTTTGGGAAAAAATAATCAATTGTTCCTCTAACCTAAAATTACTTTTATGTTAGAGGAACGATTGATTTTTCAACCCAGACTTCTTATGTATAATGATGGCAAAAACTTCAGGTTTTTGCCATCATTATACATAAGAAAAACCGTAGGTTCCAAGTTATTAAGAAAAACTGTAGGTTCCAAGTCATTAATCTCGTGAATTTTTTTCTTATTTCAGATCATATGTCACTCATCATTTTTAGAGTTTTTTTTTTTCTTCATTTTTCGACACCATAACCAGTAAAAAAAGCTTTGGGACTCCGAATCCTTCCTCAAAATATTATTGTTTTGATGTAAATAATAATTCTTTTTTTTTTCTTTAGAACCCACATATTTTGTCCATTCAATTCAGTTGGAAAGGTGATACCAAACCACTAGGTTCAACACTTATTGGTGTATCGCCTGAATTCGAAATAGCTCTTTACACTGTATGTCATTTGCTTGGCCACGATTCATATAAAATAACATTAGGAAAAGAACCAGTTATTATTAAGTCTCACAAAATTGGAAATAGAATTGGTGCATGCTATCCTCAGATGCCTTCATGGACTGATAGAAGAAAATAAATGCATAAATGCATAAATTTTTTTTTTTTTAAATTTAGGTTTTAAAATTTATTTTTTAACATTTTAGTCACATAAAATTATTGCACGATTTATTGGATAGATGGAATCTAAGAAATTATATAAGCTTTTTAAAAAAAGACCTTAGGTGATTTTAAAATTATTGCACAATTTTGAATAGATGTCCAAAGAATTATATAAAGCTTTTTAAGAAGATTTTTTTTTTTTAGGTGATTATGATTTTTTAAAAATTTCTTAGCATTGTGAATTTTTAAAATTAATAATTTAAATTTGTTAGAATTTTAAAAGGGTGATTTTTTATAGGGAGCAATATTTTTTGTATTATTTAAAAGTTATTAATATACCAGAAGAATAAAAAGTTGTGTTATGTTATTAGGTTAAAAAACAACAGCAAAAAAAAAAAAAAAAATAGAGAGAGTTAAGGGTTTATAAGATCAATAAATTGCGCAAACAAAACATAAAGATCAAAAGTTCTCCTTCGCAAAGCCTTATTTTAAATAAAAAATCCAAAATGCGAATTAAGTTTAATGAAAATTGCTGCTTAAGATCTCCTACTTCTGTTTTGTTTAAATATATTTAGCGTTGCGTAATTTATGGACGATCCCTAATATATACTTGATCCTAATTAATAATTAAATTGCTCGTCAACCTAAAAACTAACATGAAAATGTTTTTTTTTACTTCAGGCTAAATCATTTTGCCCCCAAGATTTCTTTTAAAGGCGGTTACCAATGGCTTTCGCCTCTGTATTGGCGTCAGTCTCTAAAACATTTTGCATCCAACAAAACTCTAGTTGCGGCCGCCAATAAAAAGGCGGAAAACAGAACATTTTGCCGCTAAAAAATTCACTGGGAAGCAAAATTTTGCCGCTAACTGCTGCGGAAAAAAGGAGGCGAGAAGTTTTACGCCGTTTATCAACACTGATTAAACACATATCATCTATCATATCATTTCATATCATATCATTTATCATCTAAATTAAAATGTTATCTAATAAATTAAAATAAAATGCTTTAAAAAATGTAATACTTATTATTCAGAGGAGTTTACAGAAGATGTATAAATTTATTAATAAGACCAGTATTATTAAAACAAGGTTGCACTGTGTGACTTTTTTTTCGCAAAATAACGTATAGCTTTTGCAATATGTTTTGCCTATTTGTTTTATAATGCCAGACTATACTTAGCCTTACTAAGATGTCAGGTCTGACTTAGGTGGACCTAAGATATTTAATAAGTTTACTAAATCTGCATTCAGCTAATGATATTATTCCTAGTGCTGTAAAGTAGCGCTCAAACTGACATTGAGGTTTAAAAATATATTTTCTATTTTGCACTCAACAAAAGTATTTAGCATTTTGTTGTGCACCCAAAAATACGGAAATTAAAAAAAAAAAAGTGAAAAAAAAACTACAACTTATACTAATGTTTTAAATCGATCATTGATAATAATATTACCTAAAAGATGTTAAAAATATATTGCCACTAAAAACAAAAATGTAAATATTAATATTTATTCATTCTACCTTTCTCTATTTTATAGACAGAATTTTTTTTTAGAACTAATAATCTTAAAGATTGCTTTAGTGAGTTACCATAGTTTTATCAAAAAACAAAAAATACTTAATATTAATATTGGGATTTATGGTCTTTTGTTCTAGTAGTAATGCTACATTGCATTTCGAAAACTGATATATATTTATAAAGAAAAATGATATCAGATGACGGTCTGAACTAATAAAACATAAATAATACGTGATTATATAGATGAATTGATAACTTGATAATATTGATAAATGCCAACACTCTTATTGAGTCCTCTACTCTATATTTTTTTCTCTCATGGAAACCATATATACAAATCATTTCAAAATTAACATCTACTATCGTTGTCTCTTTTATTGGGCTTGCAATTTTGATACTCTTGATTGCAATCTTGATTCAATTTTCTACTTCTATATTCAATATTCTCTTATTTTTTTCTTGTGTGGAATATTGTTGCCATATTTGGGTTGATTCTTCTAACAATACTCTTTTTACTTTAAATAAGGTTCTAAAACGTGTTTTATATGTAGTATATGTACCTATTCTAGTTGGTAAGCTTGAGGTTATTTCCATCTTCATGTTTGAATAGCTCAATCAGCCTTGGCGCAGGGAATAAAGTTCTGGCTTAGAACCAAGAGGTCCGAGATTTAATGCCAAGTCCGACTAGATAAACAACATTGGTAAGAAAAAAGACGTGAACTTTCTAGTTAAATGCTTTTCTACTGTGCTCAATGATAATACCGTCAGGACTTATTGCTGTAAATAAATAACTACACACACAAAAATAACTTCATGCGCTTCTTTCTTTTTATCATTGTAATTTAACTTTTTTTTTTTTTTTTTTATACAAACACTACTGCGATGGCTGCTCAAGCAAGCTACCATAGCAACCATCTAAGGTTTCATCAACAAAGACTCAATCAATTTTTTGCTCTTTAACTCTTTTCTTTCTGTTAACTCTCAACTTAAGTAGTGGTTTTTTCGAGAGAAATGAAAATATTTTAAAAATTTTACGATTTACGGGCCCCTAAACAGGTAATATAAACTTTTATATTTTAACATACATCGCTCCACACTTTTTAGCTAAAGTTTGCCAATATAGTCCGGGCCTTTTCTATTCTAAAAATATTGGCAAAATTTCGTAATAATTTTACTTGAAATATCGAGCAATAGACGTACCCGCATTCCAAAAACGTAATCTTTAAAGATGATGTAATCGCTAAAAAATAAAATGTAAAGATTTGACACATTTATCATTGCCCGAGTACATTACACTATCTCTAACCATTACGCCATTGGAGTGAGTTTAGTATTGAGCTTTTTTGGTAAAAACGGTAAATGCATGAAAAGGATCTGTTTACAATACTGTAATTTACACTCTTTTACACTAACTACGGTTACGTTTTCCGTTTAAGATACGGTTAAAAACGATAAAAAACAAAAACGCTATGAGTGTATTCTCGAATCCTTAGTACTAAGGGGCGTGAGGGTGGGGGGTAAGGAAATAAAAGGTGGGGGGGGGGGGATTTTAGTCCAGATCTAATAAACGGAGGGGCTTTAATAAGGGTGAAGGGATGTGGGAAATTTTTTATGTTACAATATAAATATTTTTTATAAAAAATTTCAGTTTATAAATCCTAACTAATATTTTTCTAATTCTAGCGTGTCTTGCGGTCAAACGCGCATTTTCTAACAGCTGTTTAATAGTAGTTAAATAGGATATACAATTTTTTCTTTTTTGCTGTTGATAACAAGTAAAAATTAATAAAAGAGAATGTGTTAATAAGTTTGATTTGGGTAGAAAAATTTTCCAAAAACTCATGAACGTTCCCCCTCCCCCCTCCTTTTATTAAGAACTTGAGAGTAACTTTCAGTGTAAGTTACAGTATGGTAGATCAATGTTTTTCCTGCATTCACCATTTTAACCGTAAAAGATCAATCCTAAATGCGTTAACGGATAAATGTTTGGCTTAAACATTTTTTAGATTTTTTTGATTTTTTTTTACATTTTTTACATTTTTATATTACATTTTTTTAGATTGTGGTCTACTTTTAGTCTATCTAACAACTAAAAAATAATTTGAGTTTTATTATTTTACTAGAAGAAGTCAGGCCCCTAAATTTGCGGGGCTATAGCTCCCTCCCTAGCCTTCCTTGATCCGGCACTGTAAATATATATATATATATATATATATATATATATATATATATATATATATATATATATATATATATATATATATATATATATATATATATATATATATATATATATATATATATATATATATATATATATATATATATATATGGAATATTATTTAAATAATGGATTAAAAAACTGCAACCGATTTAGAGTTTCTAAAACTTATGGATTATTATAACTTAATTAACATTTATTTGTTCAACATTAAAATTTAATTGATAACTGTTTTTTACTTATAAAATAAATTTTACAAAGTAAGTATTCATACGTGCATTTTAACTAAGGCAAAAATAAAATAATACCAAAATCGATACCAAATGCTTTATATTGACTTATAAATGACCACTAATTGACTTCAAAAACGTTAAATTTACAGCATTTCCTCGTAACTTTCGAATGAAATTAATGTACATAAAAGTTCCGTCGTTGAACAACACTATTTTAAGTTTATGTTTTAAAAAAACAATTTAAAATCGCAAAACCTATCTATTATGTCATAATTGAGTAATATAACGGAAGCCTTTGTTAAACAAAAGCAATTATCAAATGTGATGTCGTATGGAGTAAATTTGTAAAATTATTTAAATCTTTTTACTAATATAATAATAAGCATAAATTTACAAATCTTATGAATTGTTAACAATTACATTTTTAACAAAGCAGATGTTCAACTTATGTAACAAAGGTAAGGACAAGTTCCTTTTTTTCAAACATATTTGTATCGCTTTAATCAAAAACAAAAAAGAAAACCGTAAATATAAATTAAAGTTTTGAGAATTACGTATTATTTGATAATTAAAATGAATTTTTATCGTTATTTGATAATTTAAAAAAAAAAAAACATAATTAAACATCATTCACTTAACATTTTTTGTGCTTTGAACCTCTTTAACACGATTTATAAAATTTGGTTCAACATCGTTCAAATTAAATTTTTTTTTTATAAACGCCGGATTTTTGAATTATTGATTTTTTGAGTGACCTAATATGAGAATCTTTTAATTTCTTGCTTAGACCTATTAAGGCCTAATAAATTCTTAATTTTTGTAACTCTATAAATGAATTTTGCTAAAAGAATACAATTTTTTTCATTTTTATAGATTTAGACCCAAATAATCAACATTGAAGGAGGGCATTAACTTTCTTGTAACAGCATAGTAGATTTTTTCATTTAAAATAAAGATTACATAGTTACCTTATTTATTAGTTATTATTATTAGTTAATATTTATAATTTTATGCGTGCGCTTTTAAGCGAACTACTCTTTATAGAGGTTATATTAGTTGAAGTTATTTTTATTTCGTGTTTTTTTAAATAACTTTTT